CCATGGCACTCTACCCAGGGGCATAGCTTGAGGCTCTGTCTCAAAAAAAAAAAATACATATATATATATATCTCATAGTAGTTAAGAATTTTTTTGTTTAGCTCAACTTAGTTTTTTAAAATTTTTTATTTTTTGTCAGAGTCTCAAGCTGTCACCTTAAGTATAGTGCTGTGGTGTCACAGCTCACAGCAACCTCCAGCTATTGGGCTTGCCTCAGCCTCCCTAGTAGCTGGAACTACAGGCACCCTTCACAACGCACTTCTATTATTTTGTTGTTTAGTTTGGCTGGGGTTTGGTTCAAACTGGCCACCCTCGGTATATGGGGCTGGCGCCCTATTTTTTGTTGTTGTTACAGTTGTCATTGTTGTTTTAGCTGGCCCAGGCTCGGTTTGAACCTGCCAGTCTCAGTGTATGTGGCTGGCGCCCTACCCACTAAGGTGCAGGCACTTAGTTTTAGTTGAGTTAAACAGAAAAAGCCTTAACTGGGAGCGGCACCTGTGGCTCAGTGGGTAGGGCACCGGCCCCATATACCAGGGGTGATGGGTTCAAACCTGGCCCTGGCCAAACTGCAACAACAACAATAAATAGCCCAGTGTTGTGGCAGGCGCCTATAGTCCCAGCTACTTGGGAGGCTGAGGAAAGAGAATCGCCTAAGTCCATCAGCTGGAGGTTGCTTTGAGCTGTGTTGTAACGCCACACACTCTACTGAGGGTAATAAAGTAAGACTCTGTCTATCCCACAAAATAAAAAAAAAGAAAGAAAGATAGAAAGTCTTATCTACTATGTATACATATTTTGAAAATTGTATTCTGATATATTTGCATTGTTTTTGTTGATTTTCTTATAAAAGTTAAAGACACTGTAGAAATTACTTTGTGTTACATATAGGTTTATTCCTTGTGTGTAAGTTGTATCATCTAAGTGCAACACAGATTGATCTTTAAAATAAATTTTCTATTTTTTTCATAAAGTAAGAATTTAATTTGTAAGGTAAATCATCTCTGCCACTTGAATACATATTTAAATTTTTTTTTTCTTCAATTGGGATACATTTATAAGGAGTTAGACTCTTTGGTCTGTTAATCATGGGCTAAAAAAAGGTAATAGGAACCATAAAGAAATAAATTGAATAGAGAAATAATATGATAAAGAAGAAAAAAATAACAACTAAATTTGTCAGCTGGCTGTCAGGCTGAGGAAAGTGGATTTCATTGTAATCATTTCTGAGAATAGTTACTTGTGGTGCTGCTGATATAGCTAGGTACTGGGGAAAAGGCAAAGCATTATAAAGGAAGAAGTGATATGACTTGGTTTGTCTTGATAAAAGTTATGCAAC